CACGAATTTCATGCATCGGGCCTCTAGTACAATATAATATAACTAGAGGCCCGATGCACGAAATTCATATAAGGGGCTCGGCTCTCACAGGCCCGGCTGCCAGGGCCCTCGCAGCCCCGGCTTCGTCTGGCAGGTCATCTGGATGGTCGTCTGGATGGTCATTCTGCTGTTCGGTCTAATTAGTATATTAGCTCTTTATTATATAACTAGAAGCCCGGTGCACAAAATTCGTGCACTGGGGGGTGGGGTTCCCTCAACCCAGCCTGCCCCTCTCACAGTCCAGGAGCCCTCAGTGGATGTCCTACTGATGGCCACAGTCTGGCAGCAGAGGCTCGGAGCAGGCGTCCCGTGTGTGTGTGTGTGTGTGTGTGTGTGTGTGTGTGTCTGTCTGTCTGCTAGGGCCTGCCCCCAGCCGCGCCATGTAGGCTCGAAGCAGTTGCCGTGTGTGTGTGTGGGGGGGGACCCCACTGGGGGTCTGCCCCCAGCCACATTGGAGGCTCAGAGCAGGCACTGTGTGTGTGTCTGCTGGGGGCCTGCCCCCAGCCACACCATGGAGGCTTGGAGCAGGAGCCCCTCTGTGTTGATCTCTCAGGCTCCTGGCCTCCACTGCATGTTGTACTCTCCCTTGAGCTATGGCCAGGATGGGGGTGCTGCTTGCAAGCCGGGCTTTCCTGCTCCCGGATCACCATGGCAACTGGGGAGCAGGCCCAGCTTGGAGCTGCCCGCAGGCCGGGCTTGCTCTCCTGCTCCCGGATCACCATGGCGACTGGGGAGCAGGCCCAGCTGGGGGCTGCCCATAGGCCAGGCTTGCTCTCCTGCTCCTGGATCACCATGGCGACTGGGGAGCAGGCCCAGCTTGGGGCTGCCCACAGGCCAGGCTTGCTTTCCTGCTCCTGGATCACCATGGCGACCGGGGAGCAGGGAAAGTTTGGGGCTGCCCGCAGGCCAGGCTTGCTTTCCTGCTCCCAGATCCTCATGGTGACCGGGGAGAAGGCGCAACTGGGGGCTGCCTGCAGGCCGGGCTTGCTTTCCTGCTCCTGGATCAGGCACAGCTGTGGGCTGCCTACAGGCTGCACTTTTCTACTTACCGATGGCCGGATCACCACAGTGACCCAGGGCCCAGCGGCACTTTCCTGCTCTCCAATAGTCATGAGGTCCCAGCTGGGGGCTCAGGTGGCACACAGGGGTCCTGGCTAGGGGCAGGGCTTATGCCCTGCTGCCCAGGGCTGCACATGGGGCCCGGATGGCAGCTCGCACTGTCCCGCCCTGCCTGTAGTATAGGATGGAGGCCTGGTGCACAGGTGGGGGCTGGCTGGTTTGCCCTGAAAGTGTCCCAGATCAGGGTGGGGGTCCCGCTTGGGTGCCTGGCCAGCCTGGATGACGGGCTGATAGCTGTTTGCAGCTGGTCACACCCCCTTCAGGGTGGGGGTCCCCACTGGGGTGCCTGGCCAGTCTGGGTGAGGGCCTGAGAGCCGTTTTTAGGCTGGAAGGCAACTTAAGCTCCCAGCCTCTCCTTTTTTTCTGTTTTTCTTTTTTATTTTATTTTTTATTCTGTGATTTATTTACCTTCTATAGCTGTCACTGGAGCTGAGAGCCGGCTCCAGCTCCGAGGGCTGAAAGCAGGTTTCTGGGTCTGTTTGGCTTCTATAATTGAAACTCTGTTGCCATCAGAGCAGCTCTAAGCTCTGAGGCCGAAGCTGGCTGAAAGCAGGTCTCTAGAGCCTGTTTGGCTTCTATAATTGCAACATAGTTGCTTAGAGTGCAGCTCAGAGCCGGGCTGCGGCAGGCGGGGAACCTTGGCTTCCTCTGTCACTGGAGCAAGCAAGCCTCCTGTTCGCTTCAGCTGCGTGGCTGCCGGCCGCCATCTTGGTTGGCAGTTAATTTGCATATCGCCCTGATTAGCCAATGGGAAGGGTGTCAGGGTTATGGTCAATTTGCATGTTTCTCTTTTATTAGATAGGACTAGAGGCCCGGTGCACAAAATTCATGCGGGGGCGGGGGGGGTGGGCAGTGTCCCTCAGCCCAGCCTGTGCCTTCTTACAATCTGGAACCACTCGGGTAGGGTCCCTAGGTCTTACCGGAGATCAGGGCCTATCGGGGCTTTCCTTCCTCTGGCTGCCGGCAGCTGGCCCCGCCCCCACCGCTGCCACTGCTTGTCATCAGTGCAGTGCTGCCCCCCCTCCTCTGCCACCAGTCGCCTCCCTCTGCGGGTGACAGGCATAAGGTGCAATGGCTTGGCTGGCCTGGGCTTCCCTCTGCAGGGCGATCGCTGGCTGGCCCCACACACCTGCCACAGCATTGCTGGTCAGTGGCCTGGGCCTCCCTCTGTGGGGCGATGGATTGTGGGGCCCCCAGATCGATTGCTGCGCAGAGGGAGGAGGCCCGGCCCATCTGCCACCATGCTGCCAGCTGGGTAGCCTGGACCTCCCTCTTTGGGGCGATCAGTCGTGAAGCCCCCCCACCGATCATCCCACAGAGGGTGGCCTGTGGGGTGATTGTGGGGCAATGATGGGGCCCCCCGACCAATCGCATCACACCAGCCTTGGCTGGCCTGGCACCAGTGCGTACCCTAGCATGGTTGTACGGAAGGTCATCCAGATGGTCGTTCTGCTGTTCAGTCGTTCGGTTGATTTGCATATTACGCTTTTATCATTATAGATACAATAAACTAAGCCATTCTGAACACTCCTTCTCTGATCACTACTAATCTGCATTTTGTCTTAGAGCAGTTCCCTAGGGGAACACTGTGAAAGTATTTGTTGTTCTTGGTTAGCATAAGCTGGTGAAATGATAATATTTCCAACTACCACTAGGTGGTATTAAAAGTCACAGGTAGGAAGCCAGTGGTTGCTTTTTGAAGAGTGCCTGAGGTATTCCCCATGTTATTATCCCACTGTTCTGACTTTCCAATTAAGAAAATACGTTAGTGTTGAGAAATTTTAGTAGACTTAGAAAATTAAAAGCTATACAAAAGCATGAACTATAGTGCAAAATTCTTATTTTTTAAAGGAACGAGTCCTATGATGCAATCTCAATGAAATAATCCTTATGATGAGGTAATGAAAAGTTTAATACTTACTCTAATAGTTTCTGCTGGCTGAGAAATCGCTTTTCTCCTAGTTCATATATCTTATCATCTGACTCTATGTCTTTGTTTTATACTACTTTTAGAGCCCACACCAATAGTACAGAACATCAAGTTATTTCAAGTTCCCCTAACATGCTGTCCCAGTGCTGTGCATTTGATCTTCACATGGTTCTTTCTGCCTGGAGTCTGTTTTACCGTGTGTGTGTGTGTGTGTGTGTGTGTGTGTGTGTGTGTGTGTGTGTGTGTGTGTTTAAACATAACGCTGGGAAAAAAATAATGCCGTCTCTAACTCAAGTTTATATCTCAATGACAGAAACAGGCCAGGTCCCTGCAGAAGACAGTGCGGACAATACAGGATGACAGAGTTGTGGAACACGTCCCAAAGAATAAGCAAACGACAAGGACACGCTGCCAACACTGCCAGGAGCCCAGGGTGGGTGGGAGGTAGGGAGAAGCCTTCTAAACACAAGAGTGAAGACTAGGCTTGCAGAGATGTAGTGTTAAGGACAGAAAAAAGCAAGATGCACAATGGCTTGAGAGGGTTTTTGCACACCGCATTTTCGGAAAAACTAAGAACAGAACACGAGGAAAGTTAACAAGCAGAGAGGCTAGACAACTGGGTAAGGGTGGTCACAGAAGTGCATTCTGCCAGGCTAAGGAGTCATGACTTTCATAATCTTTGATGTCACTGAAGGCTTTTGGCCAGGGCAATAATGTGATCAATTTTTAATGTTCATGTTAAAAGGCTATATGTTTATTAGCTATGAGCGTGGACTCCAGCACTAGAGCCAGGGTTCAAATCCTACTTCCAACCCTTATTCTTTGTATGATGTGGAACAAATACCTTCACCTCTCTGTGCCTCAATATGCTTATCTCTAAAATAGGGAGAAAGACTTTCACATCAGAGTGGTTATGAGAAACACTTAGAAAAATGCGATTGTTATTTTTAATACTGCACTCTGGTGGCTGTTTGTAAGAAGGCAACTAAAGCAGGGATATAGGCTGTTGCAGAAACTGAAGCAAGAAATGCTGAACTGAAGCCCAAGGTGGAATTAAGTGGTACACATCTGATTTCACTCATATGTGGAATCTAATGAACAAAAAACGAGCAAAATAGAGACAGACTCATAAATCGAAAGCAGCTGACAGCTGTCAGAGAAGGATTGGGAGGCTGGGTGATGGGGGGAGTGGGGGATTGAGCAAAGAAGAGAAAGAACTCGTGAGCACATACAACAGTGTGGTAACTGCTGGCGGGGTGGGGAGTGGAGGGAGGGGGAGGTGGACAGAAGTCCCCTTCTATCACCATTTATCCCCGCACCATTTACAGGGGGGATAAACGGTGATAGAAGGAGACTTGACTTAGGGTGGTGAACATGCAATACAGTGTACAGATGCTGTGTTGTAGAACTGTGCACCTGAAATCTGTATAATTTTGTTAACCAGTGTCACCCCAATAAATTCAATAAAAAGGGAAAAAAAGAAATTAAGTGGTATAATTTGAATGAGATAAAGGAGGCAGAAATAGAGAGGATCAAAATGTCCGAGTCCCCAGGGAGGCTCTGGTTTCTGACTTGGAAAACTGGGTGGACAGTGCTTCTATTCCTAAACATGGGGGGCCCTGCAGTAGGGAATGGCAGGTAATAAAGAGAGCATCAAAGCCCTTATCTCTCCTGCCCGTCTTCTAGGATGCAGACGCTAAGCCACAGTGTCCCTGGCCCTCTATTCCATTTAGTTTTACATCTCTATGTCAGACCACTGATCACATGTCAAGACCATGTCTTAGCTATTCTCATATCCGAAATAACTGGTATGTTAAAATTTGCTAAGTGTTTTTGAGAAGTAGAGGGAGAGACAGAGGCTGAGCATTTGAATAATGGACAAAAAACACAAATGATAATCAAATTTTTTTACCTGCTTCAGATTCAGGAGGAGAATAAAACTGGCCATCGGAAAGGCCACCAGGAATGAGTGCCGCCCTCTCCGAAGCATCCTGAACTATCAGGAGTCCTGAAAGAGAAGAAATCAGAGGCTGGGATGGTGCCACTGTTCTGGTAGCTTCTTGGCAAGGCTAACCTCAATAAAATTATGTTAATATTACATTTAAAAACAAGTCTTAGCCAAAGAGATACTTTGAAAATCTTTCCACCAAAAAATACATTTTATTAATAAACTGTGAACCTGTACTGTAAGGACAGATTTCAACTAGTTTTAAAAAACAGCCTCATGTAACTCATGTGATTTTGTGACTCGGTATTTACAGCATCTTCCCTTGAGAACAGATTCTCCCTACAGAAATCAACAACATCAGAACCAAACACAAAGCAAAACAGAAAACCTGGTCAGCTCGGACAAGGGGTCTATCGTCTGCATGTGGTAGGAGAATTGCCAGATGTAAAACATAATGAATGGACAGACTTTTGTAAGTATGTAAAGAATAATTAAGATGGTGAACAAATATTATCCAGTAAAAAGGTCCTCACAAAAGAAGGGTATTAAAAAAAGAAAAAACAAAGAAAAGAGAAGAAAAGGAAGGATGATGTGGACAGTTCAAGAACACTAACACGTGATGAGAGAGGCGATCAACAATGAGCTCTGAATGTGAGTTAACAATGAGAAACAGCAGCCAAACAGCAGATACCAGGTAAGTCTATAAAATATGCTACAGACAGTAAAAATAAGTGCTATTGTAAAGTGTTTCATTAATTGTGTGTTCTGCTTTGTTACTTATTTTGAATCTGGTTTAAACACACAAGCATTCAGGCCTCAGTCACATTAACAGTTGTTCCGCTTTCAATCAAGTTCAACTTATATATAATTTAAAAAATGATTTCCATTAACTTTGTCCCAAGTCCACAATATGTTTTCATTAAGGAAAAGAAGGCACAGGATAGATAAGGCTTGGTCTGATTAATGTGTTTTAAAACCTACTCTTGAATAATTCTTTTATTGTAGATGTCTTCCCTGAAAATGAGGTTTTTCCTAAAGAAAGCCATTTCCAATGTTACTTTTCGTTCTGCTGTTCCTTTGGGTTATAATCATGTTTATCTTTACATAAGACAGACATTTTTTTCTATCAGGCAGGGCAAACAGAGCCAGGTGACGGAGGGGGCATGAAAGAGCATGTCTTAAATCTGCCTGGGTCTCTGTTGAGCTTGGATCATGTCACCAGCAAAAGGGCAGGTGGAGTACGTGGGCTCCCACTAAGGCCACGATTTAGAAAAGAATTCCAGCCCAATAATTAATCATAAAGCTCCATGAGTCACTTGGCCTTCCTAGTCAATCCCCAGGGATGCTCAAAGCCGCACAGGGAGAGCACAACAGCTTTGGCAGGACGCACAACTCCACAACGCTAGCTATCACTCAGCCACTCGGAGCGTGGTGCATTTCTTGAATGGCTCGCTAGCTCGCTCTCTTCCTCTTCCTGAAGTCCACCTTCAGCATCAACCCACTGCCAGTTGTACTGTAGGTGCTCAATGTTCTAATTAGGACACACCCAAAGCCACAGCTGGATGATAGGCATGGGAACTCTGGAGAATCCTGACGTTTAGAATGGCTGGCTCAGTTCACCTAACATATTTCACATTTCTCTGTCCTTATACAATAGTTCTGTTTAGATGCACAAAATGCCTTGTGCCCTTAGTATTAACAGGTAGAAAGGTCAACCTGTCTGAGGAGAAAGCGGTGTTTACGGTTTTTGTTGTTTGCATGTCTTTGACACCAGTGTTCACACGTCTTCTCAGGAAGCCAGGTCTAACAGCTGGAGGGAGGAGCCACATTCTGTCACTACCCTTTCATCCAACTCTCCTTGTGATACCAGCTGCACCCACTAAGGTACATAGACACCACAATCTGCTAACTTCAGCCACCTGCCGCTCCGTTCAAATTACGGCACCCACACCTCTTCCCTCCAGCTCAGCACCTAGCCAGTCCCAGGAGGCCAACGTTGAGAGGAACTTACTGTTTTCTTCTTCTGACTCTTGAGGTAACACTTTGAAGTCCAGAAACCACGTCTCGATCCAGGCAAGGATGAATGAAATGATGGGCAGCACATAACCAAAAGCCCCTTGAGAGAAAAGCTGGAAGAACAGATATGAGCAGCAGAGGGAAATCCAGTTACCATGAGCTCACAGTGGAAAACAAGGCATGGTTATTACAGATGGCATTCTTCAGAAAAAGTGGTAGGCCATACCTTTGAGAGGATCACTTTTGCTAGTAAAAAGGCACTGGTCACTGCTGTCGTCAACTGAAAGACACAAAAGTCAGCACCATTCAAATTAGACATTGGACATTGTGGAGGCACCTTCCTCACACAAGAGACCCACCTGAGCCAGAAGTACACAAAGCCCGAGAAGCTATGCCCAGGACGGCTCCTTCCCACATCACTCTATCTCTATCCCCTAAACCCAGACTGTGGCAAAGTGGACTTCTGTGTAACACACAATCCCTGGCCGGCTCTAATGGCCTTTCTCCCACATTTAGCAAGCTGGTGTGTTGGGAAACTAGCTGGTGTGTTGGGAAACTAAATTTTATCCAAACACACTATCACCACAGAAGAAAGGACAGTGAAATGCAGAGGCAGGGGTCCTGGGATTGGGGTTGGGATTATCCCATAGGAACTGGCCTTAGTCACTCTGTCCTCCAACTAAGATTTGTGGCAATATGAAACCTGACCAAAGTGAATGCCAAATAGTCGCCTTGATTGACAGACTGGAGGTCAGAGGACATCAGGTGTTGTGCTTAGTGACTATTAACAAAGTTGCAGAGTAGGTATTTGTTAGCAAAACACGCCCCGATACACACACACACACACACACACACACACACACAAACACCAGCTAAAGTGAGTTACTAGGAGAAGAAGGATTTTAAATTCTGATACTAATTAACTTTACAGGCTGAACTAAGTGCTGTTTAGATACCAGCTGACTTCTTCCAGCTGCCTGGACCCTTCTCTACAAATGTTTTTCAAAATAAAAACCAGAAGCAATAAAATGAATATGCTAAATCTAACCTGTCCTCTTGATAATTTACAATTAGAGACTGAAGATACTTTGTTAAAACTCTCACAGAATGTCAACCATTTTTCTGAAAACAAAACACTGAGACAGTTGGATTGACAAATCCTACTGCATGTTACAGACTCAAATAGGGACTATTGTAGAAAATCGGGAAGGGACAATCATCAGCTATTTGGTATTGCCAAATAGCTATTTTGTATTCAAGAGAGGAGTCAAGTCTGGCTAAAACTGTCAGCCGATATCAATGAAATGCAAGCTTGGGGGTCAATGGATGGTCTAACGATTCTGTGGATGCTCATAAGAGATGGCCCAGGCAGAGGCGCCCCCTGGTGGATTGTCTTAGGAGTGCTGGACAAGCCTGTGCCAGCCCACACACAGACCAAGGTTTCACACTCAAAAGCAGGACTGCAGGCTATTTCTAAGCAGCATTCCCCTCCCTCATATACCTGCCTTATTAGAGCTCTCAAAAAGGTGAGTGTTCAGGTATCTGTGGAAATAGAAAAATTGCTTATAATTCTTCTTTCAATCAATAAATATTTGTTTAGGGTGAATAGTATGTGCTCTATGCTGGATGCAAGGAAACAGAAATGAGTAAAAAGGCCACTGCCTTTAAGAAGCCTAAAGGCAATAATAAAAAGGAACATGAGAGCGTTTCCCTCTAAGACAGGAGGAAGGGGAATAAAACAGGGAGGAAGGCAATTATCAAAATGAGCAGAGAGCAAGTCATGAACAATCACTAAGCAGTTTCAATCAACAGGAAAATTTCTAAATATCTTTGTGACAGAGATACTGATCTTATGTCTCATACAATGAGGCACAGGGTGGGTTGGTGCTTGACCAGTAATCCTATTAGGTCTCTGGGTTTCTGAATTGGTTCAGTATGCATATAGACAAAGCTAGTTAGTCATTACCATTGGAAAGAAGCTAAACTGTTGAAAGGTAGAGGAAAGGAGACTCGGGAAAAGCCAGATGAAAACTGCCTCTTCTCCCAGCTCAGCCCTGCTGCGAGCAGGCCCTAGCCACCAGCACCAGAGGAGGCGAACCACTCATCCAGGTATACTCACTGCTATTGCCCACCAATGGCGCAGTCTGCATACAGCGTAGGCAAGTATTAACACTTTGAACCGAAAAACTGCCAAAAGCTGTATTAAAAAAAGAAAAGACGAGTTTTTAAAAATATGTACAAAAGAAGAGTAACTTAGTTTTATGAAGAACCCACCAAAGTGCCTTCATTATTCTGATTTAGCTGAAGACTGCCATAGACTAGCACTAGTCTACAGACCACCATTTGAGATCCCTGCTCTAGAATTTATGTAGTTCCACCCAAATAAGGATTCAAATCAATTTCCCATTCTCGACAAAAGAGCATGAAATTAAATGTTTGTTTTTCCTTTCTACTTAAGTCCACATATATTTCCAATTCCACTTCAGGGACAAATGCTCACTTTTAGAAGACAGCAGGATTTTAGTCAAGTCTTCAGTAAAGCTCTGGGTTACTGGGGTATTGGGAGAGTTCAGCCTAGCCCAGTAGTTACTATCTGGTTATTCAGGATGGTTCTGGGACTTTTGTGAAACCCTTTATGTGTATTATTATCCCATGTAATCCCCGCCACTACAACCACATGAGTCAACCACTATCATTAATCATATTATACAGATTAAGATGAATAGAAACATTGTTCCAAACCACCCAACTCCTTAGTGAGAAAGCCAAGATTTGAATCCAGGTAGCCTGACTTCAAAGACCAGACTCTTAACCACTATACTACAGCTGTCTTAGTAACTCTCATCCACTACGAAATAAACACAGAATAACAATTTACCAATTTTACTCAGAAAATATGTTTATTCTGAGTTGGACCCTTGAGACTCAAGGTAGAGGTCTGCCAAAATTTCCTCACTCGTCAAAACAGCTAAAAGGCTGCAGGCTGAACATTTTGCTGCCATTGACTAGATACCTCACTTAAGATTCTGTTACATAAATGAAGTTCACAGGCTATATTTGTCTTTAATTTGCTGCTTTCATTAAAAATGTGTTTTCCAATAATCTAACCATTTAGTTTCTCTTCATTCCAAATTCTATCTCCACATTCTGGACTTGGCAAAGTATTTCTTTACCCCTCTATCTTGACGTCTCCCAGGTCCCAAGGTTTCATGCTCCCAGGTCCCCTGCTCAACAGTCTTTCCAATCTGAGCTAATGAGCTCTCCCTATTTGTCCAGTAACCCCCTAAGCATGGGGCACAGACAACCAATGAGATCTGACCAGTGCATTAACCTGGCTTCCTGACAATTCCTGACTCAGGCTATTTTAGGATAAACTCAGCAAGGGAAATAAGAGGAAAAAAGAGAAATCAATTTTGTTGTTGATATGTCAATAGTTTCAAAATAAATATCATAAGATTTGGGAAATAACATGTTCTGCCATCAACTTCAATGACCTAGGCTAGGTCAGGATACTGAACCATGAAACACAATTTATTCATTTGGAAAAATAAGGGGATTGCATTATATTAGTGTTTTCCAAATATTGGGCAGCATTCAAACACTTTTTCAACGTACTGTATAGAATCTTAACATGCTAGAAGTTAAAATGAATTTGGGGGAATTCACTGTGAATCTTAACTGCCTATGCTGTCTACAGATAAGAATGAACCCTCACATACTATGCAGATAAAAATGGAGCTAGTCAGGTTTCAAGGGGGTGATAGCAAGGGAATCCTGAGCTCTACTAATTGGGAATTCCACTTTGTTCCCCAGACACACTTATTCCGGCCCCTTCAAAAAGGAAACAAGACTTTTAGAATAGTTTGAAAACCATTAGAAAATACAATCATTAAAGTTTTCAACAAAAATAATGACATTGATTGCAGATCCTGAGCTCTACCTATCATGGGGTTGTGTGTTTTCCATGTATGATTTCATTTACTTTTCAGAATGATGATGATGATCTCATTTTAAATACTAAGGAAACTGAAACTTAGACATAATTTATTCAAAGATATACAACTAGTAATAGTGTTGTGAATCAGGTTTTCTGACTTAAAGGGTTCTATAGTTTCTAAAGATAGTGAATAAAGAAGTTGAAATGAATTTGGAGGAATTCACTGTGAATTTTAAATGCCTATGCTATGTCTAACACAATGCTAGAATCTGATCTACTCACATCATAAAGAGATATACCAGGGAGATGTGTCAAACCCAATCAAAGTGTGTCCTAGAGCCAGCAGGCATGGCTCAGTGGTTGAGTATTGACCTATGAACCAGGAGGTCACAGTTCAACTCCCAGTCAGGGCACATGCCCGAGTTGCGGGCTTGATCCCCAGTGGAGGGTGTGCAGGAGGCAGCCGATCAATGATTCACTTTCATCATTGATGTTTCTATCTCTCTCTCCCTCTTCTTTCCTCTCTGAAATTAATAATATATATATTAATAATATATATTTTTTAAAGTGTCCTAGAGACACTGCGAGCATTTATTTGAATAAATGAGTGCCTCATCTACAGATAATTGCATCTGTAATTCTACAACTGACTAATGTACCCAAGATTACCAATATATAACTTTCCCAAATTATATTAGAGAAAAATGAAACAGATTTATTATTGAAAATATACTGAAAAGAAAATGCATTTTCATAATGTTACATAAATAGGTAAATTTTCCTTTTAGTGATTAGTGCCAATGGGTTCTATTTCAGCTATTTGAAAAAATAAAGGCTTTTCTCTAAGAAAATCAGAATGGCTTTTTCTTCTGCCTTTCTTATATCTTTTATTATCTTGAGATGACCAGTTAATTCCTTAGAAAGAGGTAAAGAGAACACAGAATGGGCCAGTAACTAGGGGGGGAAGGAAATACAGTGTTCAAGGGAGGAAACAAATTGAACTACATAGAATATGAGGTCCATTGGGAGGAAATTTGCCTTTTGGGTAGTTTCATCATATCTGACATAAACTGTAATAGAAAATACTTACAAATATATCAAAATAAGAAGAGTAGAAATCATATTGCACCACCTCCTTCTCTAACGTGTTCTCAATGCCTCCATTCACCTAGGAAGGAGAGTAAAAAGTAAAAACAAAAAGAGACTTATGTGTGAAAGTAATGCCAGAGAACATGTACAGAAGACAATTGATCAATGTTTCTCTCTCACAGTTATCTCTCTCTCTCTCTCTTTCTCTCTCTCTCTCTCTCTCTCATCAATAAACATATCCTTGGGTGAGAAAAAAAGAAAAGAAAATGAAGGAAGCAGATGAATTTTGCCTGGGAGGAAAGCCTTTTGGAAGAGTTTATCTTGTATTGTTGGTAAGACATGTAAACAGAACCAAGGCTTTGGGAGAAAACAGGTATGTTGGGTTAAATAAAATACATTAAAATTAATTTCACCTATTTACTTTTAGTTTTATTAAATAAATGTAGCAACTAGAAAACTTAAAATTACATATGAGGTTTGTATTATATTTCTATTGGGCAGTATTGATCTGGACCAGTGATTTTCAACCAGAGTGCTGCAAGAATTTTAAAAACATGCGGTGCCTGATTTAGTCAGAGGCACTGACTTCTTTTCCTTTAGATCGTCAAATAAAAAAAAAATTACAGCCCAAGCTGGTTTGGCTCAGTGGATAGAGTGTCCACCTGCAGACTGACGGGTCCAGTGTTCCATTCTGGTTAAGGGCACATGCCCAGATTGCGAGCTCGATCCCCAGTAGGGGGCGTGCAAGAGGCAGCCGATCAATGATTCTCTCTCATCATTGCTGTTTCTATTCTCTCTCCCTCTCCCTTCCTTTCTGAAATCAATAAAAATATATTTTAAAAAAATTATAACAGCCAACACAACAATAGCTGTCCTGTGTGAATGAATCAAAATTATACCTATTTTTTGGTCAGAATGGCAAAAAATGTATTTTTTTGGTGCACCACAGAATTTTACTAATTAGTTTATGTATGCCATGAGATTAAAAAAAAAAAAAAGGTTGAAAATCACTGATCTATATAACTAACTGCATAGGTCAAAATATAGACAAACCTCCAAATGGTTCTAAAATATTTTTATAACATGAATTCATAATCTCTTTGCAAAAAGGTAGAGTAAATAACATGCAAAATCTTAAGTATGGGAATCAGAAAAGGAGATGCAACATCTAAAATATATTCCAGAAGCATGCTACATTTTTATAGAGCAAGGATCAGCCATCTATTTTCTGAAAAGGGCCAGGGAATAAACATTTTTGCCTTTGCGGGACAGAAGGACTCTGTCACAAATACGCAACCACTCACATAAAAGCCAGCCATAGATAATAAGTAAACAAATGGGCAGGGCTATGTTCCAATAAAACTTTATTAACAAAAGCAGTCCAGCTGAATTTGACCCCTGGCTGTAGTGTGCCAATTCTCACTATAATACAAAACACCATGAATTCAAATTCCGAAATCCCAGACAAAATGAATTTTAAATTAACAAGGTTTGGTTTAAACAGTAAAGAAAAAGAAATGTCCAATTCAGCTGGAGATCAATATTGCCTCATTTGGGGGGAAAAAACAAAATCCACTGACTGAGACAGAAATGATATAAAAAAAAATAAGAAAACGGTTTTGCCTCTGGAAACAATTCTTATACTGCTATGGGGAAAAAACCACTTACATTTAACTCTATTATCCACAGTAATGTTACAAATAAGAGGTCAAAGGTGACAAACAAACAGAAAGTCCTCCTGACATCAGATATGCCTTTCTTTTCCCTTCCTTCATAGGATTCAATCCTGGCCATGAGCTGTGCAGGGTTGATGGAATGGACATCGCGCAAAGACGCGTGAGAGCTCTGGCTCCCTGTGAGAGCGTTCTCCATGTCTGCTGGCAGGGAGTTCATCCTGGAGGGGAGTTACAGGAGCCTTTTTCCAACCTCACCATCCCTAGAGAGCAGAGGCCTGAGGGGAATAAAAGAGGGACACCATGTGAGATCAGAGCTCACCCAACACCACAGCATCACCCCCGCCTCCATGCACTGTTTCTCTAATGGAGCACAGAGAGTCTTAACTGAGCACATTTATGTCTTGATGAAGCCATAAAGAGAAAGTGAAAGGAGAAGCAATTCTTAATGTTAACAATTTATACTACAGAATAGCTGCATGGAAAAGAATGGCAATAGAGAAGAATGCAAACTTACAGTGGTACAGGATCAAGACAGGATGTTAACCCCAACAAAAAGGTGTGCCCGGTAACCTGGAGAAGGCCCGCTGGTGAGCAAGCCAAGCCAGGTCTTTTGCTGTGCCAAGAAGAAAACCTCTACAATTCTGTCATCACCCACGGACTAGGAAAACTAACCGAATAGCTTCCCAGAGAGCATGTAACCAGAATGTGTAAACTACCTATAAAAATGTGTGCCCTAAAGAGGAATTGCTTTCCACCAAAGGTATCTAATAAACCAAAGTTCGTTTTCCCCCATCACCTCTTAATGAATAAGCATGTTTCGGGGCTTAACTTTAAAAAGAAATGCGCACACTGCAAAACGTTCAGCAACACATAAGCGCCCCACTGGTAATTGCAGTAGTTACACACTCCTGTAGGGAGATGCAGAACCTCCTCCCCCAAGGCCAGGATGTACTTCTATAGTAAAAGTTAAAGATTTATATGGTTGGACAAGCATGGGAAAAGGCATGTTCTTTTCACAGCAATTGGCAAGAGCACATTAGAATAGCTAGAACATGTAAACACATTTAACATCTCTGTATATACATCATGTTTGCTCACATTCTATTGGTCAAAGCATATTTCAAGGCCAAACCCAAAGGCAATAGAGCTGGGATGTATACTCCACCCAAGGAGGAAGAGTAGGTAAGTGAATATTTGTTGATTAATATTCCAATCTAGCACAGCTATCAATGTTCTAAATCACAGGTTGACAAACTATAGCCATATAGCCTGCAGGTTAAATATGGCCCACTGCCTGTTTTTGAATATCGAGTTTTATTAGACCACACCAGATCCACTCTTATTGCCTATGGATGCTTTCACACTAAGATGGCACACATAAATTGCTGCAACGGAGACCATATGGTTAGCAAAGCCTAAAATGTTTATTTTATTATCTGCATCTTTTTTCTAGAAAGAAGGACTACTTTTTTTATCAGCTTATCAAAGGGGACCAGGGTAAGACTGAGAGTTATTCAGATTAGGCTAATTGACAAATATTAATTTGCATGCTCTTAAACTTGTAATTCATTCTTATTTTCCACAGGCTGCTCTAGGGACACACTACAGTTTAGGTACAGATGGTCTTACCTTATGTTGGCTTATCTGAGGGCCACTTCAACAGTACTTACAGCATGAACACCTTATTCTCTTTCTTTTATTCCACACTACTAAAACTGGAGAAAAATTCTGCCCAATCTGTACTGGTTGCTTCCTAAATGATGACATCTTTCCCACATGAAAACAAAAATAAAAATTGTATTTTTAAGATCATTTATTAAATAGTGTGGACCAAATGGGGCCATGTATTAATCCTGACAAGCTCAGGAAAGGCCTACATGGTGGACTTACAAACTCAGAGATCTAAAGGAATCACATAGGATGGTCTGAAATTAAAACCTTTTAACTAAAAGCAGTTTATAGCAGGTAGTCATGTCCTAGGCTAGAATATGCCCTGACAAAAGTCAATCTTTACCTTAATTAAGCCTGTCTATTGTCTTTTTGCATCTACGATATCATTACTTTGGCATGTCAGGGTAACTTCCCTTTTACCAGACCCTCACGGCACAACCAATGCACCTGACAGAGAATAAAAATCCTCTTATTGTTATTGAGTTATTTGTTGACTGTTAACTATACTGTACCTTCCCTATGTAAAAGAAGCATGTGTCTACATTTTACTTTTTATCCAGTCCCAGAATTCCCACCTCACCCCGCCCCCTGCTATGCTTCCTCCAATCTCCCTAATCTATTACCAATGGATTTCATGTAGCCCACTTACGTTTTCTCTTTTGATTATAATGTATAGAATAAGATGCAAAACTGCCGTTCTCTGGGACATTTTCTTAATCCATTGTCCACAGTTTGGCTCAAATAAACTCACAAAATTTCTCTGCAGGTTTGAATGCTTCATATGTTGACGAAAGTTTACTGAGACCTTTAACAGACCACAAACTCCTTAATCTTGCCTAATCTAGCACATGGCCTAATTTTATCTACTTCTCCAGTACCACTTCACCACACTAAAAATCACAAACAGTTTCCTTAAAAAAAAAAAAAAAATCACATTCTCTGGAACCTCTGTTTCAATTTTTCTCTCTTCATGGAGTGCTACTCTCCTTACCTCTATGGCTCTTACTCTTCCTAACAGCCTTAATGCAAAGGTCCCTTCCTTAGGGAAACTTTTGATTCCTTCTACTCTTTCATCCATACCTATCAGAGAATAGTGTACGCCAAGCATGTCAAACTCAAAGGCTAACATGGGCCAAATGAACAAGGTTTAAGTTTATGTGGGCCACAAAAAAAACAAAAGCTTCAATTTTCATAGAACTGTAGGTTTATTTCTATAGAAGACATGCTGGATACAAAGGGCTGAAATAAATGAGTAATCGTTAACATAAAATAATAGAACATTTTAATAAATGTTGATGTAGGAGTTTAACCAGGTCATCAGCTTTCAGCACTGCTGGAGATGACAATGGAAGAGGAGCAGTAGAAGGTAACAAGAAGGTAACAACAGGCAGGGGATAATACTCCATTATAAAGACTCTGAATGAGATAGGAAGCCTTTGGGAGGTTTTCAGTAGAAGAGAAACATGATCCAGCTAAAACGTTAAGAGGCTCTCCAGCTGAGAACCATAGAAGTGGCGAGACCAGTTAGAGGACTATGGCAGTAATTCAAGAAGAGAGATGACAAACTGACTTAGTAGACTTGGGCTGTGGCAGTGCAGGTGGTGAGACTGATCGGCTCTAAATACAGAGCCAGAAGCATTTTGTGATGGGATGGATAAGGGGATGGGATAAAGGAAGGACTGAGGGAAAACTGCTAGGTCTATAGTCTGAGGAAACGGAAAGATAGAGTTATGTACTGAAATGAAGAAGATAGAGAGGGGCAACTTTGAAGAAGAACATCAGTTTAGTTTGGACATATGAAGTATGTGATGCTTTTTAATATTCAAGTGGGAACAAAGTAAGTGGTTGGACATAAGTCAGGAGTTCAGTGGAGAGGTGTGAGCTAGAGGTAGAAATTTGGGAACAGATAGATGGAACTTAAAGCCTTGAGCTATTAATTGTTGTAGTAAGTGCTAATTGCTTGTAGTAAGCGCAAGCAATTTTCAAACGCTCTCTATTCTCAGGACAGAACTGGCAAGCTTACTGATTTAGATCTGAAAATCATTAATGCCTCAAGGCAGCGAGCTCACTGCTCTCCCAGGAAGAGAAGGTGGCTAAAAGTGTACACTTCTTTTAGTAACTACTTTCTTCATCTTAAAGACTAGAATTAAAAATGTGTTTATCACACATTCTTCATAGCCTCCCTAGACCGACCTTCTCTATACAGACAAAACAGAAGATACATTCCAAGGAGCCCACCAGTAAGTAGATAGCAAAGCTGCCAAGGTGGCTATTCAGAGTCAAACAACACAAGACTTCTCTACAGATGAGGGATCCTGAAAGTGTCACTTTAATTGACAGAGCAATCTTCTCCTCACTGCTCCTGTGGTGGCCCTATAGCTGGTAGAAGTAGCACACTGATGACAATGCTAGGTTAGACATAAATCGACTGTCCCTGGAGTTTTCCAAGGCCAACTTCCTATTTCAGAAACTAGAGCAAGTCAATAAAAGGGAATGCTATTCACATACTTGCCCAGGAATATCTAACCAACAGGCAGAAGTTACATATATTGTACTTTGATATACAAGGATGATACAAAGTTTATATAAAAAAAATACTAATGTCTACTATGAAGGAAGGGTTGAGGTCCAAAGCTTGGTGCATGTGACAGATAAGGAAATCCCCAAATCTTAATGCCTTGATTTAAAAAATATCAGTAGTCAGTACCCTAGTCTTTTTTCATCAGACTTCATCACACAAGAAACCAGACCCTCAAGATATCAGCATCAGATGACTTTTTCAACCTAGCTCATGATGCAGAAAACAGAATCACCTCAACATAGACTCAATGCAACTATAGGGTAATATATCCAGAAAACAGATCATGAATTATAGCCTAATAATGAGAAAGGGTTCAGATATCACAAAAGTAGTAGTAGGGCTGAAACTGGACAACCAATGGGTACAGGCTGGCTGTCACTACCTGAGCCAATTAAGCAGAAACAGGGCTGAATCATACATGAGCGTTTGTTCCATTAATGCTGGCGCTATGGGAGAGCCTCAGGTCATCCGTGAAAATCTGCCTGGCACCCTCATAAGCCAGCTGCTTACATTGGGTAAGACAAAGATTACATGAGGAAGTAGGCAAAAGGAATAAGAATGGGTATAACAGTTACAGGTTACAGGCAATACAGGGCAGGGACTCCACTGTTTGGAAAACAAGGTTACTAATCTTTCCATCATAGACTGCACTCCAAGGTTGACTTCCAGGTCCCAGGGGCATAAACTCCCAGCCAGGTTAGAATGTGCTTTCTTTAATCAGAACAAAGCAATCACAGTTAACAGAGTATGACTAATATTTCTTAAATAACCAATCCCCAATATTTTATTTCTGCCCCTAACAGGGCCCTTTTTCAGATCACAGGTTCTCAATGAAGATTTGAAACTAACTCCAATCTCAAGAAATTTGCTCTCAAATTATTTAATAACAGGTAAGCACTTAGAAGTCAAAAAGGAAAGCAGTAAGGCCAGCAGGAGTTCCTCTGCTACTAAAATGTAGGCAGAGAGCCTGGTCAGTCAAAGAGAGTTAAACCCAGACTCAGCTGTCTAAAGGCTGTTGTGGAC